GTATTAGTCATGTTTTATATCCATTGTGCCCCTCCTATCATGTTCTTCTGGCTCTTTATCGCCCCCCTGTGGTGTTCTTTTATCTTAAAAACCCACTGCTATCAAGTGGATTTCTACTCATGGAGATCCTATAGGATGGAATAGAACTGCCACAAGGGTTTCTGAGGTTGTACATCTTTATGGGGACAGGAATTTTCTCACTGACATGCAGCAATTGGATGAACCTTGCAGTAAGCAGCTTAATATTTGATAAATGTAGCAAGTTGAATTTCAAATTACAAACATAATTTGGATCTTGATCTGTTAATGAAAAAGACTACTTGAAATCTGGACATGACTGTGTCTGAAAATTTAGTACTACTAGATACCACTGCACCTCGGAAACTATACAGGGTCGCTATGGGCCGAAATTGACTCGACCGCACATAACAACACAGATAGCGATAAGGATCAGAACTTTCATGTAAACCTTTTTTTTTTTTTTTAATGATAGTCATTAACCATGCGTGCCTATGTTCAAGACACAGTACAAGAGCTGTGGAGGACACCAAAATAATATCATCTACAACCTAGCAAAATTGAAGCGACCGAGTATGGGGCCTGGATACTCAGAGAAGAAGAAATAAGGTCCCATTTTTATTGTATGCAATTTGCAGAGGTGAAATTCTATTTACTTTTTTATTTGGTATGCTATCAATATGGTAATGCTAAATAAAGGCATTTTATACCTCAGATGAACAGGTCCAGCCAATTTAAACCCAAAATACACGAAGACAATTAATTATAGATAACTGATGTTTTTAAAGGTTTAGTACTTAGGCATAACACAATGAACATAAATTTATATCACAATTTGACTAGCCTTGAAATCTGAGTAGGATTAATATTTTATTCCTAACCTAGGAATCGGGCTGCTAACCGCAAGGTCAGCAATTCGAAATTACCAGCAGTTCCTCGGGAGAAAGATGAGGCATTCTGTTCCCGTAAAGATTTGCAGCCTCGGAAACCCTGTGCTTGGTCATTATTAGTCTGAACCGACTCCATGGTACTTAACAACAAACCATTTTACAACAGAGAAAAATGAATGTGCCATTCATTCATTCTTCATTTAAAAGTGTGTGTCCAGGGGGCTTCAAAGAGTTCAAGGAAAAATGGAGTTCAAAGATGAAAGGTTTCTGTAACTTTTTGAATCCCCTTCATATTCCAAATTGCTGCTGCTGCTGTGTGCCCAGGAGTCACTTCCAAGATTCACAGCGGCCCTGTATAGGGTTCCCGAGTTTGTAAAATCTTTATGGGAGCAGAAAGCCTAATCTTTCTCCCATGTAGTGACTGGTGGATTTAAATTGCTAACCATGTGGTTAGCAGCCCAATGTGTAACGCAGCAGGCCACCATGTTTTATTCAGTATCATAAAGTCACTAAACTGCAAAGAACTGACGTTATACAAAAGGTCGTAAAACAGAACAATTCCAGTGCAAGCTAAATGGGCTGAGATAATTTCAAGAAGCTGGCTGGAAGATTTGAGCTCCTATACTCCCTGTAAAAATGATACATACCATTATTTTAACTGAAATGAAAAGTTCATTATTACTTAAAAAGTAGTTACTTTGACTTTCCCAGATGAAGACACGTGGCACAATAAAGATCATGTCCATATGGTAGTTTAGTGGTTAAGAGTCGGGCTGTGAACCCAGTCTTTGGAAACTACCAGCTGTGCCGCGGGAGAAAGATGAGGCTGTCTGCTCCTGCAAACCTCGGAAACCCTCACTGTTAACCACAGGTTGAAACCCACCAGCTGTTCCTTGGAATCACTGTACAGTAAGTGTTGCTGAGTCGGACCCCACTAGGCAGCACTTAGGTAGGGCTAGGATTTTAAGTTTCTTGAAATGGTTGCATTCCTTAATGTACACTGGGATCAAAGAGAAAACGTGCATTAAGTTAACTCCTCTCTACCTTTCCCCCACAATGCCTTTTTCATTAAAGTGGATATATGGTGGGCTCTCGCTAGCCCTTGATGATGTTGCTGTTAAGTGCTGGAGTTGGTTCCAACTCATATAGCAACCTTGTATAGGGTTGCTTAGGAGCAGCTGGTGAGTTTGAACTGCCGACCTTGTGATCCAGTGCTTATCCTACAGCGCCACACCAGGACTCCTATCCCTAGATAAAATGGCCTAAAATGTCTATGGCAGACAAAAGCTGAATGGCAGAAAGCGAAATTAAATAATTAGCAATTGTGAAGTGTGTCATGGCCAACTTCTGGGTGCCGGGCTCGGGACTGGTGCGGCGCAGTCTCTTTTGGAGGACTCATCGGGCGTTCCCACTCAAACTCATCCTTCTTCTCATCTCTAAGGCACTTTTCATTGTTGGATTCATGATCTCCATCCTCCCACTCAGAACATACCCGGCAGAGAGAGCTGTGGCATCTGGCGCCAGGAGCTTCTCCTCTGGGGAAACAGGTAGCTGAGCCCGAGGGCGGATTTTATAGTTCATCCAATAAAAAGGTTAACAGGACTCCTAACCAAACGTGGGTACTGAAAAGAGGGAAGCGTCTGGACACGCCTCTTACTGCCTGCTTATTAACTTCCTCCTTTTCTCTCCGCGGTCACCTGGGGACACTAGGCAAGATCGGCTGGGTCGAGTCAGGACGTCTCGGGGTTGGGTCCAGGAGAAAGGGGAGGGAGCAACAAGATAGCAGCGAGCGCCCAGATCCCGGAGGCCTAGCAGGGCGGGGCCCGAGCGGGAATGGGCAAGGGGGCTCCCGGCATGCCGCGCGGTGCTTGACTTCCGCATGTGGGCGGGGGAGAGGGGGAGTCCGGCAGGAGGAAGTGGGTTGACCCAATTCTCCGATCGCTGCATGCACTTCCGGGGGCCTCGAACCTTGATCTAAAGCTTTCCCGGTAGGCGGTGCGGGAGGCGAAAGAAGTTTGAGGGGCCGGGCGGGGCGGATCCTTTCTTTCCCACCCCATATGAGCAGTTCCTGTGCCCCCGTCAGGCGAAGGCTTCCCAGAGAGGTGGAGCTGGTGGCCAGGCCTGGAACATGAGGCAGTGTCTCCTCTTCCTGACCAGCTTGATTCCTTTCGTGCTGGCGCCGCTACCTCCGGACGAGCTGGGCTATGGCTCCCACCAGCAACTTGGTAAAGACCCGGGAAATTAGCGCTGGGCGGCTGGAACCCGCTGCTTTGAGGGGAAGAGTTGGGGAGCTGAATCTATGAGGTGTTTGGGGGCGGAGTATTGGGCGAGTATTAACTTTTCTGTGTCTGAAGGGGGGTGTGGCTCTCGAAGTTTAGTAAAATAGTAAGAGTTGGAATTGTCTCTCGGAATCAGAAAGGGGTGATTGGCCGCAGATGTGACTGAAGGCTTGGAAGGGCTCTGTCCCCAGGATTGGGGAAGAGGGGATGTTTCTGGAAAAGAAGCTGGTGTTTGGTGAAGGAGATGTGCTCAAGATCCTTGTCATGCGGATCAGAGCTACTGTTTTCTACTCGAGGCTGGACTCGGAGGGAAGGATAGAAAAGTGGTCAGAGCTTCTAGGATCAAACTAAATTTCTACGGTTGTTGTTAAGTGCAATCGAGTCGGTTACGACTCATAGAGGTCCTATATTGGTTTTCCGAGGAGCAGCTGGTGGGTTTGAACTGCTGACCTTCTGATTCGTAGTCCAATAGATCCTACAGTAATCTGATTGGAAGGCGGCGACGGGACAACTTGTGGAAGTGCATTTTGTAAACATCATAAGCACATTCTAATTTCCATTGTAGCTTAAAATATTGGAATGTGGTGGTAAAAACCTGAGGAACCAATTCAATACTGCCCATATGAAAGTCTTCTTTGCAAGTTTAAACAAAAATTATGACGACCAGTTTGATCAGTTCTGTTTTGAGCCTAGAAATTAGATTTTCTAGAGTGATTGAATTTTTTTTTTTTTTT